GGGAAGCTCTGCCCCCCAGTTTTTCTCTGTTCACTGGGAATTCCAAGAATTCAGACCAAGTGCATTCCTCCTTGAATATACACAGAAGACCTGGCCTCCATCTGGGATTTACAACACAGGGGCAGGCTTCAGGCTGAGGATGTATAAAAATGTTCCCAGGGAATATACATTTTCTGCAGTGTAAGAGACTAATGTGGACTTTATAAATCTGAAATGCCTCTTTAGGGAGAGCCCCTGAAATTTTCCAGATCTTGTCCAGTGACTTGCTTTAGCTCTGGAAGTGGCTCCCAGTGGTCAATACATAATATACGAGTGAAAACAATCATCAGCTTTGAACCCAACACTTCCAGGGACACCAGACCCTACCTTGATTCAACATAAGAAGGGAGAAGATTAATTAACATTGAAAGGTCAGGACCACATAATATCCATGACTACAACTGCCCCTACCTGTACGCTGTGCACTGGAGTAGGGCGTTCTTCCTCTTATGCCAGAGTTAACTGACCATGAACAGGTGGTATCACACCTGTATCCATGGTAGGCTACTCCAGGAGGGCAGGTTCATTTTCTGTCCTGACCCCACAGAGTCAGCCTGAGTCTCTCCTTCCTGCATCACCATGGGAACATCAGCCCAGGCTCAATGTAGATCCTGTCACCAGCACCTGGGAGTATTTTAGACATTGGGGATGTCCTGTGCAGACTAGAGTCAGGCTGAATGAAAACAGGGTCTAAACCTCTTTCCATCTCTGAGGGAGAGGAATGTGTCATCCATGGGTTTTTTCCTCCCTTCACAAAAGAAATCTCTTTGGATGGTCCCCAGATGGGAGATGCTCCAGTTTCCTGGTATTTCAGTGAGCAAGAAAGAAGAGGTTTAGAGAGTTAAACTGACAGATAAACCAACGGGCTTCCATAATTTCAAGTGGCCATGAGAAAAACAGTAATGCGATAGTCATGGTTTCTACTGTCTGGGAAATTTCAGTCTAAAGAGAATGGATAAATTATTGAATTCAGCATCATGTAGTTAGTACAAAAAGGGGAGATATGCAGGGGACGTTGGCTCCATTTGAACCACTTTCCTATGTGTTTGTGAGTTCTGATGTCACCATACATAGAAAGAATTGTTGTTTCTATTATTTTACTGTGCGCAGAATAAATATTTAGCATCTAATGTAATTGTCCTAGAAAACTCCGATGCTCTATGTTAAATTGCTTGTTAGATTATGAAATAGACAAAGTACCTTAAATAATTGAAAGCATACAAACTCTGGAAGTAGAATTTGTGCTGAGCAAGCTTAGAAAAGACAGAAAAATAAATCAGCAATGTAGAGATTAGAGCCTTGTGCCTGCTCCCTACCCCAGCCCTGCCCAGATCCACCCTCTTCTGAGCCTTATCCAGGTCTGTCCCAATACTGGAATCTCCCCTCACAGAAGTGAGTAGAGGAGAGCAGCTTGGAGTAGCCACTGCTGCCATCTGTCCAGAGCCGGTGCTTTTAATTTTCCTAAAGCCAAAAGTGCATAAATGGGTGCAAAGGATTATATATTTTGGTGCCTTAATTTTCATCTTTTTTATTAAAATTTGTGCTTCTAGAAACATTTAACCCACTAACTTGTTTTCCATTCCTTCAGATCCAGTAGATGCTCTACAAGTTACAAGAAAGTAAATACAAGCACAACAATAAAAATCCTTCCATGTTACTGCTCCACCCTTCCTTTCCATGTATCTCCCATCCATGTATATCTTTTATTCTTCTACAATTTTTATTTCATTGGTGACAAAGTAACAGAAGAAAAATTAAAAATCTGTGCCCAACATCTAGATCCTGATATGAATTATGGGACAATTAGTACCTGACTCGCAGGGTATTATGAGGATTAACTCACACAATTAGAGTTTCCCAGCACAACACACTGCAGCAACTTGTGAGCACAAAGTTTGTCATCAATGAACGCTGCATTAATGCATGTGCACATGTTGTTTTCCAAATGACTTCCTCAGATATAGTTGCCTTTGCAGCCTCTGTGAACTTTAAAGGGCCAGGAGAAAATGTTTCAGGATGGTGATCAGTGGTCTTCATTGGGACCAGTATTTACGTTATGATAGAATTGTTAAATGTAAGTGGCTGTGCTGTGCCTGCTGTCTTTAGCTGAGTGCTGCTGATAATGGGAATGGGGAAGCAACATCAGCATTAACTGGGGACTTGTTAATGAAGCCAACCCATGGACCCCTTCCACACCTGCAGAGTCACATTACTTAGACTGGAGTTTGGATACCAAGTGCTTTCTGTGCACATTGAAGCTTGAGAGGGAACGCTCAGCTAAGTGGCTCTCAGCCCAGGCTTCCAATTATAATTCTGTGATCAGTTTGAAGACATACCATCCCCTGTGCCCTCCCTACAGCTTTTGTCCATTGGTCTGGGTGGGAGTATCCATATGATTTTAATTAAGTGCCCATGTAATTCTGAGCTGAGGCCAGGTCAAGCAGGTGGGTTCCCAGATCCATTCATGAGCGCTGAGTCCAGCCGTTTTTCCAGAGGGAGGTCACAGGGCCTGCTCTGCTTGGGTTTGGTGGTGGTGAGTCAGTGTGGCGCATATCCCCACTGCTGCTGCAGAAATTGCTGGTGTCTGTGGCACCTGAGGGCAGGAAAGGAGAAACTCATATTTTCATCTTTATGTAGGAGCTCACTGTTCCTGAATCTCTATTGTCACAAAGTACAGATGAGGGTGGCCCTTTCTGTACTTCATGGTGCTTGTACCTGTGGGTGTGGTGGTAGCAGATAAAGGGGCTGTGCTGATGCCTTGAAATGCATATTGTCAAGATGCAGCTGTGATTTCTCCAGATAATCTTACCTGAGAAGAAATCCTAGAGAAGCAAAAAGAAGAGGAAGAAATGGCTGGTTCTCACACAAGAGTCTCCTAGGTCAGGGGCTGTGTCCTACTTTTACTTTTAGAATATCATGTATTTAGGACTTGCAAACTATTGTTTCTCTATTTCTGAGGTTTCTGCTTCACAAGATTGTCCCAACTATTTTTTTCCCTTCTTATGATTTTCAGGGATCTCTTTAAAATCCTTATTTCCTACATACTAGAGCCTTCTCTCCATTCTCTCCATCCAGGCTTTTTACATATGAAGAACAGTTCTCACCATGAAATTAAGACCTGTAATATTGAAAGTGTTCCCTTTTGATAGGTCAACATGGGAAGGTACAGATACCCAAAATTCCTCTTAAGTATAGGATCGGGTACTCAGATATCAGTGAAGAAGGAAAATACGTGCTGTTGAGGTTCTATCTTGATGCCCTGTCATCTCTATGCCAAATAGGATTTAAAAATGCACACTTACGGCTGGGCATGGTGGTGCAAGCCTGTAATCCTAGTACTTAGGGATGCCAAGGCAGGAGGATTGGTTGAGGTCAGGAGTTTGCTACAGCCTCAGCCAGAGTGAGAAATGAGCTGGGCATGGTGGCACACACCTATAGTCCCAACCACTCACAAAGATAGAATGCTTGATCTCAGGAGTTTGAGGTTGCAGTGAGCTGTGATGATGATACCTCTCAAGCCTGTGTAACACACAGAGAAAGACCCTGTCTCAAAAAAAAAAAAAAAAAAATGCACATTTAAAGAGAATGGCATTAATTGCCCAAGATAACTCAGAATGTTCTGAAAAAAGATTATAAGAAATAGGCTCTCTAGGATGCTAAAGAAGGACTGTTTAAATACACTACTAGAGAATACAGAACATGAGAAATATATATGGTTTAAATATTACGTAAACCTGAAGTTTTTCGTGATTACATTCTGATTGTGATTCACTTGTTTTGGGCCAATAATCTCACAGCAGTGATGTATCCTATATGCTCAGCACCTCATACCAGTTTGTCCTCCTGCAGTTGATGTTCATTCACTTGGTTAAGGTCCTCTCTGACAGATTCCTCCACTATAAAGTTAATTGTTTTTCATTGTATCATTGACAAGTATCTTGGGCAGTTTTACTGGCTGATGCACATAAATCATCACATTTAATCTGGAAGTGCCCCTTTCCTCTTAGTTTCTCTTTGCTTATGGCTTGATTTGGGCAATGAAGCTTCTCATCTTTGTTTATTCGTCAGAGAAACTAGTATAAAACTCAGGATCTTCCACTTAATGTATGTTTCACAAAATATTCTTTTTGGGCCAGAAGAGGTTGCATTTCTGAGAAGTTTGTTAGAAATGCAGAAACTCAAGTTCCACTCCAGATCAGAATGTGCATCTTAATAAGATCTCCAGTTCACTGTAGTACACCTTAAAATCTTAGAAGCGCCCTTATAACTCAACACAACTTTTCCATATGGGAAACATATACAGCTTATATGGTGTACGATAGACATAGATCACTCAAAGCGTATGTGCCTGTGTTGATACCCTTAATTTTATACTTTATTATCCAGAAAAGTATAGTATCTATGCTTATTTTGTGGATTTTTTCCCATGCTCAGTCCTCAGCATTAGAGAGTGTTATTATATTTTGTTTTGGTTTTGTTTTTGTTTTTTTTTTTTTTTGAGACAGAGTCTCACTGTGTTGCCCGGGCTAGAGTGCCGTGGCGTCAGCCTAGCTCACAGCAACCTCAAACTCCTGGGCTCAAGCGGTCCTTCTCCCTCAGCCTCCTGAGTAGGTGGGACTACAGGCATGCGTCACCATGCCCGGCTAATTTTTATATATATATATTTTTAGCTGTCCAGCTAATTTCTTTCTATTTTTAGTAAAGACGGGGTCTCACTCTTGCTTAGGCTGGTCTTAAACTCCTGACCTCAAGTGATCCACCCGCCTCGGCCTCCCAGAGTGCTAGGATTATGGGCGTGAGCCACCGTGCCCAGCCCAAGAGAGTGTTATTATAGTAGTTATTGGATCAGTCCACTCATTAATATATGTCAGAGGCAATTCTCTTCACTCTAATTTTATATTTAGTCAAATTAAGAATGCTACCCCTGGCTATTTGATAAATATGTGTTGTTTTTTTTTCAGGGACTTTTGACATTCAGGGATGTGGCCATAGAATTCTCCCTGGAGGAGTGGGTGTGCCTGGATCCTGCTCAACGGAATTTATATAGGGATGTGATGTTAGAGAACTACAGAAACCTGGTCTCTGTAGGTGAGAATAACTTCCCTGTAAGATTCCTAATGCACTCTTAGGGTTTCATTTTCTTTCTTTGTGCAATGTTTTTGGGGGCAGGTCGTGGTCCACTTTATATGAATGAGTTTCATATCCCTGTTTTCAAGGAAAACTTGGGGGCTTGTTGATGTAGAAAGGAAAATCTTCAAGATGTTTCATCGTGATGTGAACCTTCCTATTTTTTGAACTGATCTGTATATTTCACTCTAGATTGGCAACCATTCTGGAAATGCAGTGGTATAAAACATTACTGTCAAGAGGTTAAAATCCAGTTTTTACCACCAATTTCTGATTAAGTAGTGTTGGACAGGGGAGCTAAGAACAGAAATTTAGAATATTTTCTAAATATTCTAATGATTCTGTCAGAAAATAGTATTTTAAGTTTAAATTTCTATAATTTTTTTTCCTGAAAACAAATTTTATTTAAATAGGGTTTAAATACATTACACATAACATTAAAACTGAAAGAAAAAAAACCCAAAAACCAGTTTGTTACTTCACATGGCATTGGGCAGCTGTTGCTAGTCAAGGTGCAAGCTCTACAGCTAGCTACATAACCGATACATTTGTTTGAGATTTGTTCCCTTGTCAAAAGTTTAACTCTGATACAAGGTTGGCCTCACATTCTGATGTTTGGACATCCCTTAGCTAGGATATATCTGGTCAAAAAGACCTTGGTGGAAAGCCAGATGTCCTATCATCCCACCAGAGGGAAGGTAGCCTCTCTGAGCTCTTTCCACTTGGAGATACCAGGGGATCTTCCTTTTACTACCAAAGGCTCCCTCTAGTGGCACAGCTGCTGTTGCTGCCTTACCCCATCCTCTCAGATTCACGGAGGGTCGTCCAGGTGGTGACATTCTCTTAGGGCAGGAACTCTGCAGAGGGAGAGGCGAGGAGCTTCTGGCCAGACATAGCTGTCTGTGATCTTAGGGCTGTGGGCTTGGCTGAAACACCACATTATTGCTTTGTTTCAGGCTTGACACCGCCAAGCACCTCCTGCTTGACCTCTGTGTAAATGAGGGACTTCAAGACCAGACAGCATGGCTCTTTTCAGTTTATTGCATGAAGGAGTTACACTAGTCCAAGTTAAAAGCAGATCCCAAATGGTTACATTACACAAGCTGTGAGGTGTTTAAACTTGTGACAAGGGACAGAGGGGAAATTCCATTCATTGCAAGGAAATCCTCACTTAAGCTTCAGTGAGCCACAAGCACTTAAAACCCATGAACCTTCAGCTGATCGTCCTTAGCCAGTCCAGTCTCTTCAAGAAACTGGCATATGTTCTTCTGCTGTCACCCTGTAGCTGAATTACTTCTCCATATTCTGGATGCTCAATTACAGTACTATTGCAGGCAAATTTCTTCTTAAACGCCTTCACTAATTTCTTTTTATCGTAATCATCAGTGATCCTTTGGACAGTAGTAAAGGTCTTCCTGCCATTTCTCTGTTGAAGTCTTATATGGATGTAATCCTCAGTTCCAGCAGGAAGCAGGTCATCACCCTTACTTGCATCAGCAAAGGGGTCAAAAGAGTGGAGGTTCTGGATAACGGACACACTGTACTTCCTCGGTGGAAACGGCCTGCAGAAGGCAGGCGGGGCAGGGGGGCGGAGAATGGAGATTTGGGAAATGAGGGGCTGAAGGGGAAGGCTGCTGCGTCCTTGGCAGCGGCTCAGTGCCTGGGCTACAATCTTCTATAATACTCTCTCTTCTCTACTGAGCACAGTACTACATTGGTAATCCTAGCAAGAGTTATTTACATTTTTCTAATAAAATAGGTCTTGCTGCCTCTAAGCCAGACCTAATCACCTGTTTGGAGCAAAGGAAAGAGCCCTGGAATGTGAAGAGACCTGAGACAGTAGCCAAACACCCAGGTAGGTGGGAATGAATGAAGCACATGGTACAGATGAGAGGTCCAAAGATCTAGGAGTGAGCCAGACCTTAAAATGTGTTTTGAGAAGCTCTGCTCCAAATGGAAATGGTTTCCGAGAAGCCTGGATTTTTTTCTTTTGCTCTCACATAGGGGCATCTTCTGTCCTGTGTTCTAAAATTCTCTAAGGACCCTCCTTGCATTCATTGATCTTCCTTTAAGGTCACACGTATGTCCTCTTCATGGCTTATAAGGGACTGAATGATCTGAATGCCCTTCCATTGCTTTGGGGGGCATAAGAATATCTGTGCATATTTTCGAGGAACTCTTTTCAGCTTTTTCTTAGGTACCCTTTTTGCATCATGTGAAGTGTGTTAGTAGTGGTGTTATTGATATTTGCTTCAGAAATACCAGGAACACCAGAGACAGGTGTACATTTTCTGCTTTAACATTTCCTACCATGGGGCTTTCCATTGTCATTTTGCAGAAATTTATACTCAGTAATTTAATCAGAACAATAAGAATCTATCTAAATGTAAAAAAAGTCTGATGTTATTTTACTTCAAAATTTTATTTTTTAGTATGAACTGAGATTAATAATTTAAATTCTATATTTTTGTATCTCTCAACTGTAATATAGTTTAGTATACCTACTCACTTCCTAGATTTCTTAAATATACTGTGTCATTTGGGATCATAGAACATTGCTGAGTATATATTAAACTCCCACTTGTCACCTTATACTTTTAATAACTCATTTTGTGTTTCTCTTGTGTAATATGAGACTTGCCTTGACTGTATCATTCATATATACACGAGTGTGTGTATATATGTGTGTGTAACATGTAGATTTCTATAAATGTATATTTGTATACAGTGCAATGATTTGATATATATCAGTTGTAAAACGAATAATACAATCAAGTTAATGAATACATCTATCACCTCACAGTTACTTTTTTTTTTTTGTATTGAGAACACTTAAGGTTCCACTGTCTGAGGAAATTTTGTGGAACAAACATTATTATTATCTATAGTCATGATGCTTCACATTAAATCCTCAAAACTTCTTCATCTTAAAATTGAAAGTTTGTACCCTTTGGAGAGCATTTCTCTATTTTCCCCACCTCCAGGCTCTGGCAACCACCTTTTCACTCTCTAATTCTATGAACTCACTCTTGTTAGAGTCCCCATGTTAGTGAGAACATGAAACACATTTGCCTTTCTGTATTTGGCTTATTTCACTTAGCTTAATGTCCTCTAGGTCTGTCATGTTGTGTAAGGGGCAGGATTTCATGAATTTTTATGGCCGAAGAATATTCTGTTGTGTATATATACCACATTTCCTTTATCCATTCAGTGTCTACAAATGTTTAGGTTGTTTTTATAGCTTGGCAATTGTGAGTAATGCCTCTGTGATGTAGGGGTGCAGGAATTTCCTTGAGATTCTGATTTTATTTTCTTTGGTTATATACAGAGGAGGAGGATTGCTGGATTGTACAATAGACTTATTTATCTATCTATTTAAAGAGGCTCCATATTGGTTCTCAAAATGACTTTGCCAATTTAGAACTGAACAACAGTGTCCTGTATTTCTTTTTCTTCATGCCCTTGTCAACACTTGCTATTTCTCCTTTTGGCATTAGCTATCATAAAAGGTGTAAGGTGATGTCTTATCATTGTTTTAATTTGCATTTGCCTGATGATTTATGATGTTGAGCACCTTTTATGATAATATACCTGCTGGCCATTTGTATGTATTTTTTGGACAAAAACATCTATTTAATCTTTTCTCTAGTTTTCAATTGGGTTATTGTCACTACTGTTTTTGCCCTTGATTTGTATGAGTTTCTTATATATTTCGGATATCAACCTTGTATCGGATATATAGCTTGCAAATGGTTTCTTCCATCCTGTAAGTTTTCTTACTTTACTGTTCTCTTTGTTGTGGAGAAGCTTTTTCATGTGATGCGGTCTATATTTGCTTTTGTTGCTGTGCTTTTTGTGTCATATTCAAAAATTATTGCCAAGACCAATATCAGGAAGATATTCCATATGATTCTTTGATGATTTTTAAGGATTCATGTATTTCATTTGTCTTCTTTATTTTGAATTAATTTTTAGGTATGATGTGATGAAATGATCTAATTTTATTCTTTTGCTGGTGGGTATACAGTTTTCCTAGCATCAGGTATTAAAGAGACTATACTTTCTGTATTGTGTATTCTTGGTGGCCCTGTCAAAGACTAGTTGACCTTATGTGCCTGGATTTATTTCTAGTCTGTCTCTTGACTTTCATTGGTTTTTGTGTCAGTTTTTATTGCATATACCACCCTGCTTTTACTACTATATTCTTGAAAAATAGTTTGACATTTGGAAGCATGGTGTTTCCAGCTTTGTTCTTCCTCAACATTGCTTTGACTATTCAAAGTTTCTTGTCGGTTTAAATAAGATTTCGATTGTTTTTTCTAATACTGTAAAAAATGCCATTGGAATTTTGATAGAAATCCTGTTAAATATATAGATTGGTTTGGATAATATGTTACCTTAATAATATTAATTTTTCTAATACATAAACATAGGATATTTTTACATTTGTTTGTCTTTTTTATCAATATCGTATTTGTTCAATGTAAAGATCTTTCTTTTTTGATTAAATGTGTGCCTAAGAATACATTATTTTGATGATATTGTAGATGAGATTGTTTTCTTTTTTTTAATCAGATTGTTATTAGGGTATGGAAACGCAATTCATGTTTTTAGGTTAATTTCATATTCTGCTAATTTACTGAGGTCATTCCTTAGTTTTAACAGTTTTTTGGTGTAACATTCATGGTTATCTATATATAAAAGTATGTCATCAACAGTGACATTTTTTTTTATTTCTGCATATTATGGGAGTACAAATGTTTAGGTTACGTTGGTCTTGCCCGCCCCGCCCCCCAACAGGGACATTTTTAACTTTTGAATTTGGTTGGCATTTTTCATTTTCCTGCCAAATTGTTTTGTCTAGGACTTCTAGTATTAAAATAGAAGCATTGAAAGAAGGCACGAAGTAACCTTGCATTGGTGTCTGCAATTTTTATAAGTTGGTTTTAGCAGGCAAAAGTATTCTTTTGGTTCCTCAAGCTGATGGAATCTTTTCTGGGTTTGCAGTGGAGGAGTTGTAGCTTGGTACAAGGCTGCTGCAAGTCTACAGTGGCATCTATCTTTGCTAAGCTTGTTGCCAGGGGCCAGGGTGGCTGTGAAACCTGTCTTATTTTTGTGTCGTCTTGATTGCCTTCATGACATTGATCTGTAGGGCAGGCACTTGGGCAGGGTTCTGCAGCTGGATCCACATATGTTGGACCCAATACAAGGTGTGTGGATAAATGTGGCTCCCAACTGAGTACTTGGGAGTTTCGTTTTTGTTTTTTTTCAGGTCACTCTGTTGGTCCCTAGGTGGGTAGGACTGGCTGCCCTCTTAGGTGGCTAAGAGGGCTGGAACTGAGTCACAGAACGGCCTCAGAGACAACAATAAAGAGCAAAATCTGAAAACCTGCTTCCATAGCTATGAATGCACATCTCACTCCAGTTCTCTGGATAGACAGGATCACTCCTAGGCCATGGCTGGGAGGAGCTGGAGGTGGTTACAGAGTAGCTTCAGAATTCTCAGCTGGACGACATTGGGTGGGCCAATTCCTGTTTTGTAGTCAGGAGCAGGTGTTCTTCAGTTTGCCACCTAGATTAGGGCCTGCTTTCTCAAAATGACATTTCTTGGTCTTGGGCTTTAGTGGGCTTCACAGCCCTCTCCGTGGCTTCCTAATATGTCATAATGTACTTTTGTCAATGGGTGGCTGCCAAATTATAGATGCTGGGGGCAGATATGTAAGTCAGGAATTTCCTATTTCTACATCTTGCCGATGTCACTTTCCCTCTGTTTTCACTTTCTGATTTGTTTCAAATTTGTCTGTAATATAGATTCAAACATTCAAAACGATGTGTTTGAATTTATATATTTTTGGAGAAGTAAGTTAGATAATTAGTAGGCACCCCATGTTTATTAATATGTCCACTTACAAGTTTAAGTTTACTGCAGTTGAAAGGAATTATTAAGATTTCCATCTACTTTCCTCAATCTGTATTTAAATGATAATATGATTTATTCCCAAATGTTCATTTTATATAGCAGCTACTCTTATAATATTTTATAAAATTTATATTTTTCCTTTATTTAGGAAAGTAGATCACATCTTTTGAGAATTAAAAAAAGAAATGTAAGGCTTTCTATCAGCTTCTAAAGGCTGGATTACAGTCTTTTCATTTTGTGTAAGAATAGCATCCATGTACTGTAATAATAACATAATAAAACATTATCTTTAGTATCTTTTAAATGCTTATTCATTAAACCTTTCTCGTTAGAGCCTCTTACTGATTGTAATGCATTTTCTATGAAATTTTACTGCCATACACAGCATGCCAATGACTCCAAATTCCTGCTCTCCATGTGTAGACAGTCATAGTTGAACATTGTATTTATCTAGAAAAAAATTTTAATCTTATATCAATGTTACATACAGAATTTTATGGGTAAATATTTCCTTTATTTTTGATTTGCAATACTGTATTGCTGTGTTTATTTTCTTGGGCAGGTTTCTTGACATGAGTTGACTGTGATTTTGGTTTTACCTATTTATTATAATTTTGAATAAAAATTTGCAACTTTATATATACACTGTAAGCCAATGTGAGATTTAATTTAAATAAGAATCAGGCATAGGTCTGTCACAATTAAATTATGTATATGTTTGTTTGTGTTTATAACTATGACTTCAAATTGTTCATGACTTATCGTGTATATTTCTTCATTTGGCTTGTTGGTCAATGGTTGTTTTATCCTGTCTAGGTGAGTAGTCATGGAAATAGTCTTAATTTCACCACCTTTTATTGATGAGTCTGTGTTTTCTTTGTGTGAAGAAACACCTGTGATTTGAAAGTAATTTTT